ATGATGACTCCAAGTTTCCTGGAAGAACCCACTCTCGGCCTGTGCCTATCATCATCAATAAGAAAGATGAATAGGAAGTTGAAGAAATCAGAGACCACCGCCTTTGGCATGGAAATGATCAATTCGCTAGTCAAATGGAAAAAATATCCAACGAGCAAAAACAGTTGGGAACCACTGGAAAGACTAGAGCACACTATGGATATGGTGAACGAATGGTGAAAAGACAATATGCCAAACGGATCCCTCCCCCCAACGATCAACTACATCACCATGTGCTGGACACCCACGATACCAGAAACTGAGCGATGGCATGCAGAACTCGAAGCTAGAGATGGATTTTGGGCGCCATACTTTGAGTCAGAATTCGAAAGCAGCAATGAGGAAAATCAAGCTATGGAACAGGCTTTCAACAACCTTATCTAGTCACCAATCACTATCCAAATACCATAATGATGTCAAACTATGTGGAAGTCAATGTGAGACTGCGACAACAGATTGTTGGACAGTTGTTGAACCGCGATGTTATCCAACTTGAAGACTACTTCGAAATCCTCTGGATAGATTACTGTCCTGATTGCGATCACACTTGGGTTGATGTACAACGCGAATCTGGTATTCGTGACTACTGTGATTTATATTTCTTTGAGTCTAAGAGTTTTCTTAAGATTTCCTCTTGTCCCTGGTGTGATACTTATGATGAAGAGTTTCTTGCAGAAACTGAAGCCATGAGTTTCTCGGAATCCGCTTTTGATGACTTTTTTAGGTTTTGTTTGTTTAAACAGTTGTTTTGTTTTGGAGAATGTAACCGGTATAGGTACTCGGTTATTGGTTTTGTTTTATGTTTTGTTCTAAGTATCGCTTTGATACTTGGTTTTGTTTTATGTTTTGTTTTAAGTATCGTTTTGATACTTGGTTTTGTTTTATGTTTTGTTTTAAGTATCGCTTTGATACTTGGTTAGTTTTAAGTATCATTTGATACTTGGTTTTATTTTATGTTTTGTTTTAAGTATCGCTTTAATACTTAAGGAGTTTTACCAAAGTGTATCGATTGATACCTTTGATTAGTTTCGTTCATGCTAGACATGAACAGATTTGTGTATTTAAAGACCACCTGTTTCTACGATAGAAAAGGCAGACTTCGACAGACAGTATTTCAATATACTTGGTTGAACGGTTACTTCTTTGTTCCTCAGTACACCCTCGAAGCCTCCTTTAGTTCTCAGCTCTCGCCTCCTCTCTGGAAGAGCAGGTCACCTGCCAACTATCGTACCTATTACCGTTAACGTGATTAGCACCTTGCGAACACATTACACATACCAGAGGGGCTACAAACTTGGACCAGGATGGGTACTAGGTTGTTTGATGGTCTTGTAATTAGTTCTTGTGCAGGTATGACTCAAGGATAGCAGATGTGGAGCCGTAGACTTAGTTAGCTTAGGATTAGTGGTATACCAGTTAGCGGTTTCCCTGTGCCAGCGGGGGCTCATCGTATGCCAGTGTTGGCAGTAAGAGTTTAAATAAAATTAGATTGAATTCTAAGTGCTTTTCCTCCTTATTACTTTAACAAATATAAAACATCTTTACAATCTTTATCATTATCGCAATCTTTATTGTTACACCAAAGAAAGCTCTTCACGAAAGAAGAGTTATAGAAAGCCTACGATAGGCGTTCCTGATAGAAGACAAAGGTCTTATACTATCAGTAATGTAGGCAGAGGCCTAGTGCTATCATAAGACGAAGGAAAGAAGAAGGAGAAGAAGAGTAGTATTGTTCTCCGTTACCAAGAACTAACTATCCGAAGAGGGATTATTACAGACAGAGACAATTGAGGTTAACTCAGTTCAACTTGAGAACTAGGCCATAAGTCTACAGACTCATATGATCAGACAATTACTATTGGGAGCAGCATGACTCCTAGTTAGCAATATTGTAATTACCAAAGAGGGTATGGTGATTTTCATAATCTCCAGGTCTTCGTACCTGTGAAGAACAACCAATGTTGTGAGTTATAATCAGAGAGGTACATAGTTATATAATAGATAGCTGTAGTCCATGCACACTCAGATACGGAATATGAATATTAAAGTGCCTCTCAAGCTTTTAGATATTATCTAGCAATGGAGAAGAGACCTTAACAATATAATATTATCTTCACAATTCTATTCTATTTTACCTACTTTACTTCGCTCTTAGTAGTCATAAACAAAACAAGTAAAATCTGAGTCTTCCTAGACAATCTCTGTCTACAGAAATGAATCTTGGTTAGCTTAGACAACTCTGAAGTCTATCAGGTCATCTCTGCCTAACAACTGTACCCCTAGCATGAACAGAATCTTTTCCACTATAAAATGTATATTATAGGCAGTGATCATAGTAGCATTCATAGGGTAAATGAGTAATCCAAATTTAACCTCTTTTTGATATATCAAACATGCACTCATCTGAATACATGAGTTTTCACCAAAAGTGAACAGGCTTTTGCCAATATTGACTTCCATATTACATCAGTTCATGCTGATTTTTTGGGTTAATGAATGGCTTTTTGCAAGCCTTATAGTGTGAATAACCACGCTGTGAAAGTGCTCTCTGAACCGTCCTTCCAAATACTGACAGCCCAACCTCCTGACCAAAGTGCTGCCAGCACAACTTTCTCCCCTCCCATCCACTTCTAAGCTGACCAATCAAACTTCAAATATAGTCTTCATCTAAGTGGCACAAGCATCCCAGGCATGATCTTGTCCGTCTAAACCTTGGTGTACAACTCTAGCGTGATACTGTCAAAGGTAGAAGACTTATCTTGTTGGCCACTTCTGACTGCAATAATCCAACCTCTAATAGAGTAAGTACTCTAGCCCTCATAGGTGTCCTCCATTCACCTGTTGGAGGCTGCCATGGTGGGGTATTCATTTTCTTATTGCGATAGTAAGTGGTTGCAATGGTCAAAAATTTGGGTGTTGCCGCTCATCATTTTTGGCACCAGCCTCGTACAAAAAGCCACTCCTCATAAGAACCAGACTGACCGCTGCAAGCTATCTGATGCACGAATCCTCTCTAGAGCACAGCTCATTCAACTACGAGATGCCTGACTCAAAAAAGATGCTAGAAAGGGTCAGAAACAGCCTAACGGAGCCTCAAAAACCAAGAAAGTTCCTTCGCAGCATCAAGTTACTATCGTTGCTACGCCTACTGAGATTCCTGGACGACGACTGGACGGGATGACAAAGACGAGGATGAGCGCCGTCCGATGGCCGTCAACGGCAGTCAACTAAAATTGGTCAATGCACCCAATGCCACCCAGTAAGACACACACTAGTGCTATAATAAGTATTTAAATTTTTAATTTTTAATAGGGTAATAAGGTATCCATAAAAGGAAACTCAGGGTTAATGCCGTCGGACTGCCTCACCCCGTCCAGTCTGTCCAAAGACAAGACATTGTCGTCCTCGGTCATCCTGACCTCGTCTAGGACGCACTGCTCCCGCTACTTTCGTAGCACCTCACCGGTAAGTAAAACTTTTGATTGTGGTTCAATAAGATATGCTAATTGTTGGCTTCACAGAAGAAAGTAATCAATGAAATTTTGTTAGAAAAGACTGCAAGGCCGGAGGGAATTAAGATGTTGTCTCAACTAGAACGATCAAGTATTGTAGAAACAGTTTGGATCAAATCACTGGCGCACTCAGTTTGACATATGCTAACTAAGAGTAAAAGGAACTGGGAATTCGTAGCAAAGCTATTAACAATAGACTCGACTAAATTGAAAACTGGATTAGACTAATGGTCATATTTGGTGGTGGAATTGTTTTGTTTGAGTTTAGGACCATACCGTAGGTTTGCTAGTCCACTCTGATTTTCTGAATTATTCTGCTTAAATATGTGTCTATAGTTGGTATACAAGGTCATGGTCTATGACATTCCTGCCGATAAAGAAATGAAGCATCACATCGAGTGAACCATCACTGCCTCCGAGCAGTGAACCAAAGGCATGCCGAAGAACCCAAGACCCCCGGCCAAATTCAAGCCGAAAATCTTAGTGGAATCAACCAGTTACGAATGAGGTGTACCGTCGTCAGGGGAGGGGGGGAGGTAAAAATGGTAATAGATGCAGGAATTTTTCTGCTTAGTAAGGTGGTATTTGTTTGTTGTATATCTTTATCATGGGCGTTACGAGGAATAGATGCAGCTAAATAGAGGCTATTTTTATTATAATATTATTTACATTCTTTTACTGCCATCAAGACATTGCCACAACTCCGCAAAAACTCTTATGATCTACTATGGTATTAATCCATCTAATCCACTATCTCCACCAGGCCTCCAACCCCTATGCCCTAAGATAAAATCCCTGAGAAGAATTGGTGTTTTCCTCATGATACATGGTAAAGCTGGAGTGTGTTGAGTGTGTCAGATATTGTTAACAGATATTTGCAATTGTGTTATCCTGTTAAACTAAACCAATTGTAGGCTGATGATGTGATTGCAGAGTTTAGAGGCCTTGTGGAGATAGCAGACTATACGAGTTAATACGGCTACAAGAGCGGTGTTTTGCCATAATTATCTAGATCGTCAGGGTTGACCTCTTCCCGCTCGAGTAGTACGGTATGCTTACCACTCCCTCATGTCTATTCTCAATGGCATACCGTACGAGAGCGGGTTTCGGCCGGAATTATCAGGCTTGTCAGGCTTGTCAGGCTTGACCCCTTCCCGTCCGAGCAGTAATTCCACTACCTCATGGTGTCCATTCCGAGTGGCAGGCGAGAGCGGGGTGAGGGCGGAATTGTCGTGCTTGTCCGGGTTGACCTCTTCCCGCCCGAGCGGTATTTTCACCACCCTCTCATGTCCATAACGTGTAGCAGACGAGAGTGGTATTCTGTCACGGTTATTTGGCCAGTCGGGGTTGACGCCTTCCTGCCCAAGTTGCACCCCCACCCGAATCAATTACCATAATTGCGGCACCAACCTGACAGGCAACCAGTAGCAGCAAAGCCTCACACACAAAATGTCGTCCTTTTCTGCTGTACCCGTCTTAGATTTTTCCTTATCAAGGGATGAAAGTACCAAACCAGCCTTCCTGGACGAGCTGAGGCGAACATTGCTCGAGGTTGGATTCCTCTACATCAAGAATACGGGGATTGATGAAGACCTCGTGGAAGAGGTCATCAGGCTCGGAAAGGCTTTCTTTGACTTGCCCGAGAGCGAGAAGTTGAGACTTGAGATGAAGAATTGTAAGTGATTACTTTGCCTCCACAAGCTCTTCTTGTCCCCTGATATTGCGTGAGAGCACGGAATGCTGAATGGTGATCATCACGAACGGCTCTTGATCTGTGCGGGAAAATGAGAACGAACATCTCACGTCATAGAACCGGAATGCTAACTTGAGTTCTTGGGAACGCAGCTCCTCACTTTTTAGGTTACAGCCGGCTTGGAAATGAAATGTATGTTTCTCCGAGCTCATGTGGCTTCAAACTTGAGAGGAAACTTATAGCTCCACAATAGACTTCAAAATGCATTAGCCGCTGACCCAGAAAACTTCACAGTACCAAACATGCCACGGACTGGCGCGAACAAATCGACCTCGCAACCGAGCTCCCTGCCCCCGCTCCCGATGAGCCTAGATACCGCATGCTCCGCGGCCCAAATCATTGGCCTAAAGAGGAGCTGTTGCCCGGTTTTCGAAAAACCTTTACAGAATACATGGATCAAATGGCTAAACTTTCAACAAACTTTACCAGCCTTGTTGCCGAGGCTATTGGATTGCCAGCCGATTCCTTTGAAAAATATTTTGATGCATCAGAAGAAAGCGCTTCCGGGACAAAGAGGCAGGATAAGATGAAAATCGTCAAATACCCTGATTTGGGAGAGCTAGGCGAGCAAGCGGCGGGGAGCCAAGGAGGTGAGGAAACTGGCCTATCTGCGTTTATGTTCGTTATACTAGTAAGCTACTTAGTGCTAATACCCCCTCTCTAGTTGGACCGCACAAAGGTTTGAAACTATTTTACACGCAATACCCAACTAACGGCAATAATGAAGAGAGATATTAATACCGGACCAAAATAGATTCGAACCTTAGCTCCTATCTTCTTCAGGCAACAGACCACAAGGGTCTTCAGGTTCAGAACTATAGAGGAGATTGGGTAGATTGTGTTCCCATAAAGGGGACATTTGGTAATACCCCCTCTCCTATTGCATTGCCTGCCATGATATTAAAAATTTCAAAGTTGTTGCAATAGGACGAGGCCTCGAGGCCATGACCGACGGCGTTTGTATATCAACAGCTCATCGTGTTATTTCCCCGTCTGCCGGCTCAGGACCGAGATTCTCGATACCCTTCTTCCAAGGGGTGTCGTATGACGCTACTTTTGAAAGCATGGACGTTCCGGAAGGGGTTAAGGCTTTGAAACAGGAAATAGTGCGAAAGGAAGGAGGTTGGAAGGATGAGGCAGAAATGACATTTAAGAAAGGTAGTTGTTTCAAACATCTTGGAGAAGCAACTATGATGAATCGAGTCAGGGTATCTCTCCTCCCCTACCTCCAACATTTCGAAAGAAAAAAATCGCAAGGTTGACATTTCCGCTTGAAACAAAGTCACATCCGGATGTGGGGGAAAGATATTACCCGGACCTCTTAAGGGTCGTCCAAGAACAGGAGAAGGCAGGGAAGAAGCAGTCAGTAGATAAGCCAGGGAACGGAAACCCACTTGGTGTTCCTACAACCACAGTCACCACTACTGAGGGCGCAACTGATGGTGCTCCTACCACCTCACCAATCAGAGGGCGAGGCCGGGCACCTACGATTGTAGTAGAGCTGACCCCCAGCGATCAGCCAACTTATGGAGAGGACCCAGGCCCCGACGGAAGTATGGAAAGGAAGGAAGCATTCGAAATGAGAAAGGCTGACGCTGCTCCTGACGTTGTTCGAGTCATTGAGCGGTAGGTTTTTCCACACAGGTGAAACTGAATACTAGTTTCGCATTAAATTCAACTATAAATTACTTTACCTAACGTAATTAATGCAATATCACGACCTATTTTGGCCTCCAACTTTTCCTCATCCTGGCATCTGTACAAAGTGCGACGATTTCTCCACTCGCCAATATCCGCACAACAGCTCTAATCGTTCCTCTAATAATATCCAAGAGAGCTGCGCTTTCAGCCCAACTCTAAAACCCTACAGGAAAGACCATCGCCTTGAACTCCCCTTTTGGGTAGGGTTCATCAGAGCACCTCACCACTACTTTTATTCAACACCGTTTCCAAATATTGCTCCCTATTGTTACCTTTATGATGTTCAATTATCATACTGTTAGTAAGATCAAAATTATTAAACCGGCTTGGCTGGGCGGCTAGCAGGTGGCGGCTTGAGGAATAAAATTATATACCCTTCAACCTAACATAATACGCAAGCAGAGTAGTAATGGATACCAATGAGGGCAAAACACCACCCCCATATCTCCCAATAAGACGTATGATAGCCCCAAAATGAGTATCATATATCTCTCGTCTTCATGTTCCCCGGCCCATCCCCCATCCATCCATCCACCTCATCAATCAATCTCTCTAAACGATACCAGTGCTTGTTCCCACAACCACATACCAGCTGCCTGGCAAATCTACCATGCCGCTAAATGATCTACCTCATCCCCCGGATGAAGGTGGGCCTCAAGGTACAAGAAAAAAATCTCAGGAGGATGCTACAATGGCAAGTTATCTCGGGGTTTTTTCTCCAATCAACTCACCAGGCTAACTGAGTGAATAGATCACTGTTTCTCTGACCGAGGATGAGTGGTGCGATCTTTTCATAGATCTTGTGCATGGCTTAAAGTCCGCATTACCGCATTTGCCTCGCGATATTAGGATAATTAAAGCTTTTGCACACCTAAGGGGACTATGCGCAAATTCAGCTGCAATAGACAGTTTAAACGTTTGCCTTCCCTATCATTCCCTATTATTACGTTTCCTGCCCTAGCATCTACCTCCACTTCTTTATACTAACTACCACCATTCTTCCCTCAGAGCTTCCAGGAGCAATATTACTGGCGAGAGTCCAATGCTGTAGCCCAGAGGCTGAAACATAGCCAATCTAAATCCCCAGAGGCGGTCGATACCACTGCTGAAACTTTAGGCAACAGAGAAGCATCCGAAGAATACTTAGACTTTGTTAGAGCTACCGAAAAACTTGACCGCAGTATTACACATCTTCTAATTGAATCTAATACTGGCCTGGACCCACTCACCAGCACAAGCGGAGGCAAGCCGGTAGCTAACGAGCAGGTAAGTTCCCATCCCAATGTCTAAACTTCCTACTAAACATGCATGCCTTTCAGATATTCTACCATAACAAGAGTTTTCTTCTTCCTGACGAGCATGGGTCTGGTTCGGGGGAGGCTGCAGGGACGGAGGTTAGCGTTTCTGTTACGACTCCTGTCACAACCATCGGTCTCGAAAACTCCGACAGTCTCCAGGAAAAAAACACCCAAATGGAAAACAAAATCGAACACGGGGAGCTGGAGTCTACATCACCCGTCACAAGTATCACCACAGCCACCAGCCCAGAAGTCCCCAACGAATCCCTAGTCCCAAAAACCCCACCCAGATCCCTGACCCCCCCGCCCGCCAACCAAACAGATTCTTTGGTCAGCCCAGAAACTCCTCCAACCCCACCGTCACTTTACAATGATATTGCGAACCAACTATCCTCTTTGTCACCAAATGAGTCACCTGGGGCTCTCCGTCTAGAGAGTTTTTCTCCAATTATGAACACTGTAAAAGAAAACAACATGGTAGAAGATCGATGGAGAGATTCTCAGGTCTATGGTGGCGCGCTTGAAGAATATCTTGCACCATTACCTCAACATTCCTTAATAAATGCAGTCGGTGACGTTGAGGGAGGTGTTACTACCCCACTATCTGATCCCGGTTGGATTCCAGAAGTGACACTTTCGAGTCCGCCTGGCCAGACGATTGTGTTCTCTTCTCCCTCGAGCATTTGTACAACCAGTACACGCAGCGGTATTCCTAGATCCACCGCCACATTTGGAAAAGATAAGGAACTTCCACTCACTCCTCCGGCGCCGACCACGGCGAAGAAGCTGATTTCGAAAACCCTAAAGGGAAAGGAAACAGGCCCTTTTGCCTCAAGAGCCAAGGGAGCAAACGTGGAACCTACACAACCTAAGCCTAGTCTAATGAAGACACTCCGTATCTCCTCAGGTGGCGATATTAATACTTCAAATATACCCAAATTAGCTAAAAAGTCATACCCTCCCCCGAAAAACGAAGTGCCCCCCAAAGAGAAAAGTGCGGACCTTGGACGGTTTACCAGCTTGAGGGATACAAGTGTTATACCCAAACCTGGGGTCATTGATCGTAGTCTCCTCGCCAGAGACGGAAACAACAGAAAGCTACCCGTTGAAAAAATGCTTGAAAACGCTAAACCCGAAATTGGTACAAAACCCAAAGCGATGGTGCCTTTAGTTCCAACTAACCCCCGTTCCCCAAATATCGCACCAACTACAAAACTCCACTCTAACAAGTCTCTTACATCCCCGTCAGTTCACCGAGGGAAACATGCACCGGGATATATTATGGACAAGAGAGGATCAAGAACCAGCATTTCGTCAAGTCTTCTATCCTCTCCCAAGAGACGGTTCAATTCGGCCATATCTATCTACGAGGACACGCCCCTTTTAAGGGAAGATTCGTCATCAACGCTTTTGAGTGCTGGATCTAATAGCAGTGAAAGCATAGCAACCATGGCGCAGGCAGAGCCTGTAGTCCTTACCAGAACGGGATTCTCCAAAGGATCACCGAAGCTGGTTGAAGTTCCCAAAAATGCGATGGAATTCGGCATATCTCTTGGATCCGGCAATTCTCAGTGTATGGTTCGTTCCCCCAGCAGGGTTTTCACCAGAAACTCTATTAGCACAGTATTGGAATGTGAGGAGGAAGATGCGCCACCTCCACCACCCCCCAAGGCCGTGAGTGAAACAGCCAATCCAGTCGGAGTTCAGAACCCTCTATCTAGCGCAGGGGAGCACCTGGACGAAACGCATGATAAGTCGTGCGTCCCCGAGGCAGAGAATACCAAGAACTCAACCCCTCCACTGGGGCCGATTGTTCTTCAGCCAGATACGAGCCAGCCTCTCGTACCACCCCTTGGGGCGGCGCCGTCCAATGAGCGTACAAACACAGCTGTGGCCAGCACCGGTCATCCTAGCCCCAGCCATGGGAAAGTCCTCTCTAAAACTCATCAGAGAACCAGTGCCGGATCAAACAAGACTACGAAATCGACGAGCACTACCATGTCAACTAGCACTTCCGGATCCGGTGAAACCGCGAAAGCAACTATGCCTCGCTACAATAGAAACGACACAATTATCCCCCCAAAAACTATTCCTACCAAACCACCGGAGAACTCCAAGGCTACGGCCAAAAATGGGAACTTGCCTGCTACCAAAAATTTCCTTCGCCGTGGCTCTGGCATCAAAATGAAATCATCTTTTACTTTCCAGGCGCCGGACCCCAGCACTACACTTGCAGAGAGCATCGATCAAAACCTTTGTGGTCTGGACGCTAATGGTACAGCGAGTTCGCAGGATATCATTCAAAACTCAGAAGCCAAAGATAAACCGAAGCCAACAAACCAGTACGCTCATAAGAAAAATAATCCTCCGAGTGGTGAATGGCTGAGGAGTTTAGATCGCAATAAAGGCAATATGGTTAAGAACATGGGTGATTCCGGAGCTATCATAAAACAGGAGAGTTTAATATTCGCCAACCCTAAACCTGGCGATACCGTTCCTACCAAGTACCCGGAGACTCTCACGCCTAAAAGAGTATCCCCAAGCCACTCAGCTGGAGACCCTCTAAGGAGAAATGACAGGAATCAAACCCTTCCTCGAGGCCCCCCCACAGAAAACTCTCCCGAAAGGTTCACTCCAAGCAAAATTCGGGCGCTCGCAGATCTAAGTGGGATCGGTTCAAACAGAAATCCTAGAACCTTGCCCTCTCCTGGACGCGGCTGGTTTGGACGCCGTTCTCTCGTTTCAGCGCCCACTTCGGCCATATCTGGAAAGGAAAATTACGACCCCTCCAACGCACAGGAAGAAGGTGTTACTCCGGTGAAGAAAGAGAAAGCTAAATCTAGATCTCTCGGGAATCTCGCTGGGTGGCTTCATAGATCCCCCAAGATCTCCCCTGATGGACTATTTTCTCGTGGAGCCAAAAAGGATAAGGATAAGCTAGCAAAGGCAACTTCTAGTCTCACCATTCGCTTGCCCCCCGCGACCCTTACTCCACAGCCACTCGGTCGCTACGAGCAAAAGACCGAGTTCTCGCAAGATGATGTTGAGAACCTCATCAAACGCCTTTCCACCCAGTTGCCAAGCACTCCAGATGGCTCACGTGAATTCAACGCACTCGGAGGCAAATACTACACCTCAGGTTATATTCCCAACCTTGACGAGAGCCCATCCAAGGAGTCCAATCCCATTGCCGTTTGTATGGATCTGATCAACTCTGCCAGCGAAGAAGTTCAGAGTCCGAGAAGGGAACGCTTGCTTCAAATGAGCAGCATTATGGTGGATGCTGTAAGCAAGAGCAGAGACGCGGAATGTGCAGCGGAAGAAGCCAAGATGGCAGCGGCGAAGGCTGAATGCGCATTCTTGGAGACTAGAAAATGCCTCCAAGAGATGACGGAGCTCTTGAAAAAGATGGGAAAGGATGTCCTCTGCGAAATTCTCTTCTAAATCTCCCGGTGCCCAAGGAAAAGTGTTAGTGATCGGGCGATCCCTAAAAGGTAGCGGCTGTCCCTAAAACAAAATTTCCTTTCTCCAAACCCTCTTGTCTCCCCTAGTTTCATGTGTTTTTTTTTACTCTCTTCCGAGTCTGTCCGTTTGTATGTACTATGTATGTCAGTTTCCCACAGGATAGACT